ACAGACAACACATGCAAGGCAAGAAGGGATTTTAATAAAAGCAACAGTATTAATATGCATTAAGCCCCTTGATTAAGATGACTGCTGATAAGAAAAGAACTCTGAAGCTAACCTTGTTTATCAGCAGTAAATACCATCTATTTTTGTCCACTGAGATTAATAGCACCTGCAAACTAAAATTAAAGAAAAAAATTCCTTAATTGGATTATACTGTGGGTCCTTCCGGACCGGCTTCCACCAGGCAGCCATGCTCAGTACTTGATGCATCCAAGACAATTAAGAAATATTTACAGTATTTTTCTCCACTGCCCAGAGTGGTTGTAGGAGAAAAACCCCTTCCTAAGCCTAAAGTCAGTTCACTCCCTGAACCTTGAGATTCATTTCCTTTTATTTTCATAAACAAAAATTCAGCATTAGCAAAAGGAAGAGCAAAAGAATATGACAAATTGCTAATATTTTTAATTGGCTTTTTCTTCCAGGTCATTGAAGATTGGAAGTATGTTGCCATGGTAGTGGACAGGCTGTTTCTCTGGATATTCGTCCTTGTTTGTGTCCTGGGGACTGTTGGATTATTTCTGCAGCCACTTTTTCAAAACCACACTGCTGCCATGAACCCTTAGTTGTCATTTAAAATTGTCAATACTTACATGGATGTTCGGTCTCATTCTGTTCTCAGTTCCCCTCTGTTAAATCCACCAACTGAGATGCCAGCCGAGTTATTCTTATATCAGATTTAGAGTAGGGAAATGGGAAGTAGAACATGACTTGTTGTGATGGGGAAAAAACCCAAAACAAACAGAAAACTATTACTTTTTCCAATGAGTTCAGTACTTCTAGTGACATCTTGGCCCTTTTTTCAATTATTTGAAGTCTCAACATTACAGAGGAAGGCGTTTACTGTACAATATGCCATCCTGGTTCACAAGGATTATTATTAAAAAAGTATTTTACATAGATTGCCTCAGGAAGGACATTTTCTTTCCTTAGAATACTGCAATTTCCCTATTACAAAGAAGGTATTGCTATGACATTTATTCTTTCAAATGCACCAAAACTATTTGTATCTGATTTATAAAGAGCTTTATAGGTGGAATCACTGTTTAGCTGTTTGAGTATGATATTTAAAACTCAACTGAAAAACAGAGACATACTTCTGAGGTAATCCCTAATAGGTTTCTTGCCTTGCCACCTCTGATAGCTGATTGATCAACAGAGGCAAAATTAATAGAAGATAAACAAACATTTATACACTCTGTTCAATGATGAAATAAAAATAAAAAGTAAAATTTTCCTTTATATAGATTTAGTCCTGAAATGTTCCTGCAACTTTAACAGCTCGCGTAACTGGTGTTCATACGCACTTTCATGAATCTAAGGCTAAGAGCACAGGAAAGCAACTAGAGAAGACAACTGTGAAAGGCAGTTGGAATGAGAAGACGCCTGAGAACAAACATACCTGCATGCTTTACTGGGGAATTTTAATGTGGATTTAAGTATAATCCTCAACAAATTAGCTAGGAAAGCACATAACACATGTACAGTCTTCGGCAAAAGACAGACCAAGGCCCCAGACTCCTGTCACAGTACAATTCCACCACACTTAGTTCCAGGTAGCTCATAACCTGCAAAAAGAGAAGTGGGCTTCTGGCATTTTCCAGGCTAAATCAATCTCAGCTTTTCCTTGGGGCGTTGTCAGAATGCGTAACAATTTTACCACCACTGATAGAATCAACTAATGGCCTGTGATGAAACTATTAAAATGCACTACTTACTTGTGAAGGGGATTTGGGGCTCACCTGTCCCAGGGGAGTATTAGCTGACACCTAAACCTGTGTTCTTCAACAAGCCACAGATGAAGACAGCTCCGGCTCTATTTGCCCTCATCAAAACCGAGCTACATCTCTACCTAGATCACTATATTCCCAGGAAGCTACAGATAACCACATAGATTTAGACATGCCAGAACAGCTACACCAACACCTTCCAAATTGTTCAGAGCAACTCTGGGGCCTTTGCCGATTCTTGTACTCACCCTCTTCCTGTCCATGCACTGAACTCCCCAGCACGGCTGCCACACACACCACCACCCCACACACCCACCCCTGAGCACTGCAGCACGGCCTGGTGCATGGCAGCCTAGGGGAGATGCAGTGAAAAAAGTATCAGAAGTGGGGTGGGTGAGGCTATGTAAGCAGCACCAGCACCTCCCTTAGGTCATATGCTAGAAGAAGGAATGGTTGTAACATGGTCATCCTCCCTTTCCATTCCGCTTCCTCTATGCACTGTAACAGTATCCATTGCTGAAGACAGGGCAAGAAGGTGAAGGATGACTGCCGGACAGCCCTATTAATGCAAGCGTGACCACAGAAGCTGCCACATCCCCCTCTCCCAGAGGGTGGCAAGGCTCTGGTCAACTGCCCAAACATTAACCATTCTGGACATTTCCGGTGGTGACTGGCAGGCAGTGTAAAGTTTAAATGGGTCAAACCTGCTTTCCCTGTCTCAGATGTCTTCTTCTCAAACCTAGAGAGCAGAGCCATTTCTCTGCAGGCAACTGAAACAACAGCTGTGAGATGAGATGGGGCACAGGCAGCCCCCTGGGAGCAGAGGGGTGCCTTCACTCATGCAGGGAGATGCTCATCTGTGCTAGGTTATATGCAGAGAGCTGCTGTGGCACAGAACATCACAAGCACACATGCACACACTGCCCCAGCTGCTAAGCAGCTTTTTCCACTTACAGAGAAGCCAGAGGGAAGCCAGAGCAGCTGCCAGCACCGCGCAGACAGTGTAAAGGTGAAGCCCCTTTAAATCCCACAATAACCCTGAACAGCAAATCTGAAAGAGGCAGCACAGACTTAAATATTCTTGCGAGCTACTACACACTCCCGCAGGGCAAAAGGGAGAGGGCCTCACCCAGCCAAGCAACCAAGGGTGCAGCAAGTCAGCTGCGGACCCTGCAGTCCACCTGGCTACACTGGACCTCTGCAGAGCAGAGACCCCTCTCTCTGCTCTTTTCACCCAGCACCCAAAGCACTTTTGGCCGTGTCCTGCTCTCACCCTCTTGCCAATTACTATTCCTCTCCCTGGTCCCTTCTTTCTGTTCTTATCCTACTCCTCACTGCCTGAATGCAACTGAAATGAGGCCTCCAGCACTCCCATTTCATAGCTGGCTTTATCTTTATGAGCAGTAATGACTGACAATGCTTGGCTCCCTAACTGCAGCCTTCAGATAAATTATTCCCAGCACAGACAAAAGTTTCAGAAAGGATTTGGCAGCTCAGCTAGCAGCTAACACAGAGCACAGGCAGATGGAGGCCTGACTTGACAAACCCAGAAAAAGCTTTCAAAAAGCACATCCCTGGCCCCAGGGAGATCCCTGAAGAACTACAGCTCTTCATCCAGGGAACGATGGGCTCTGGTGCTTTCCGTACGCTGTGGCAACCTCATTCCTTTTTTAATCAAGAG